AGACGCATTAATTGTTGAAGATTTCGATGTGGTGAACGATGAATTGTTCTATTTGTACAACAATCTTGTGGTGTACGTCGATGTAATTCATTACGAAGATTTTGATTATTTGTTTCACTTTCCTATAATAAAAAAAAAAATTTAAAAAACATAAAAAGAAAATCTTTATTCTTCAACATACAACTAAACGATCTTGTAATGAATTAATTTGAGATATATAACGTTGAACTTGATTTTCAAGTTGAAGAATTTTCTAAATATTAAAGAAATATTTCAAAGCAGAAAAAAAAAAGAAACAAATACTTGTTCTTGATCCTTATGACGTCGATCAGCATTATCAAGAAGATTTTTTAATTCTTGTGTTTCATTCACTTGTCCACAAGCTGGTGAAGGACGACTAGAAACCTAAAATATTCAATTTTTCTAAATCAAATATAATTGAACGATGGACTCTAATAATTTCATAGTGCTGTCTTCGGATAGTTACTTTATAGTAACAAAATACAAACTTCACTACACTAAATAAGACAACGAACGAAAAAAAATAAGGTTATAACAACTTCAATCATTGTCTGAATATTCAAAAGCATCTCTTTATTAACTTCTGTATGTAAATAAACACTTAGACTACAATTGAACTTATAAGTGTTCATACATACAAAAGTGTAGGAGAGGCAAAAACATGATTTCCTCTTGTCTTCAAAGATAGATCAAATGAATTTGTAATTGCATCAGTTTCTAATCATCAAGTTGACCTATTCGTTTATTCAAAATAAACTTTATATATCAATTTGAAATCTATTAATATCAATATGACGACGTTCATAGAAGCAATATTGCTCACTCTTCTCTCTTTCAGACTTTTAAATCATCCTATCAGAACAACAAAGCTATATAAAATACAGTCTAGATGACATCCTTTAACAATAGATATCTGAGAATGGTGGTATAATCACAATCAAAAAAAGCCTATTAAACATTCTCTTTCAGGTCGTAATTCACTTCTGTCTAAGACGTTGGTTAACTGACGCTTTTTTTGTTTTTGATAATTTATAATTATAGTAAAAGAAAATTTTGTTTTACTATTTGTCTAAGACGAGAACATTCATCTCGATAAAATTGTAACTGTCGTTTCCATTCTTCAACATTGGCATGACTTTCTTGTAATGCTGTTGTTAATTTTGCATTATTATTACGTAATATATCTAATTCTTCTTGACATTTTTTTGCATTATTTGAACTTAAAACAGAAAAAAAAACTTGTATATGAGAAAAAAACATATGTTTACCTTTGCGCAAGTGCAAATTTCAGATGAGCATTTTCTTGTTTTAATTGTAATGATGGATCTAATCGTTTTGATTGTATTGACCAATCTGATTCAGACTAATGACAAGAAAAAAAAAACAGAAAAATTTTGTTTTCTGTATTAATTGAAAAAAAAAAAAGAAGAAACATTCATATACTCGATATGTTTGTCGAGCATCAACACTACTACTTCGAATTGCATTTTTTGTTGCTTCTTTTACTTCAATAAATTTATCCATAAACTAAAAAATATTTTGTTTTTTTTTGTTGAAAAAACATCAAATAAATTCATTTTTTTTCTACCCGTGTTAAATCAGCTTCATTAGCAAAACCTAAACCATAAACATTATTAGCTCTTGAATCAACCCATTGACAAAATTTTTGTGATGTTTTTGTAAAACTCATACGAGCTGTAACAATTGTATTAATAAGTACTTTTGAACCATCAACAGATAAAATACGATAAACATTTTTTACTGAATCATGAAATATTTGCACATTTACTAGATTAGAAGAAAAACATCAAAAGTAACTGAATTTAAAAATTAATTTTTTTTTTTCAAAATCATTTTCATTTCATACCAGCACCAATTGATAATGGAATCCAAGATTTTCGTGTATCTGGATCAACTTGAAATATATGTGCTTTACATGTAAATAAAGGAGATTGTTCACTACGATATATTGTATACATTGATCAATAAAGAAGAAAAAAAAAAAGAAAAATTTGTTCGTTTACCCCATATTCGTATCAAGATGCATATACCGATTATCTGTAAGAAAGAAATATTGAACTTTTTATGGTATAACGAACAGAAAGAAAGAAAGATTAATGTAACGCAAAGAGGAATAAAACTGTTCGTTAAGGCATAAAAGTATATACGGAGAGTAGAGCTATTCCTTTTGTAACGTATTCAATACAAAAATAAACAATGCTTCAAGCAAGAACAGAAAAAGACGGGAACAAAAAAGAGAGAGAGAGAGAGAGAGACGGAGAAATTCGATCTCAAACAAATTAAACTGTACAATCATTCCGGATTTTATTGTTTTAATAATATTTGGAGTTAACGAAATGACCTATATAATTAGTGACATCTTTTACTTTTTGTAATAAGATTAAATGATGATTGTCACTAATATAATAGGAAAAATTGTCAAGTATATTGCTTCAATTATGAGCTACTTCAGTATAAACTCAACGTAATGAACAGTATATCTTTTAAAACAATTCAAGATGGATATACTGAACAAAAAAAAAAAATATTTTCACAAAGATCTCTTTTATTAACTATAAAAATTTCATTAATGATTATTCTAGTTCATAAATTGAGAGTGAATTTTTCTTTGTATCTCACGTATAATGAAATTACTATTGAGAAGTATTGTCCGGTATATTAAAATTGGGCCAAAAAATAAAAGTGTCGATACAGCTTAATGATGCCGGAAAGTTTTCGCCGAAAAATTCTGGATAATGGTCGAAATTTAAACACAAGAATTCAAATGTTTTAAAAATGTAGCATAGTGAAATAATGTAAAGAAATCAACTACGCGATTATACAGATATGTATTTTTATTTGTTTCTTTTTTTTTCTCAATTGCATAGGGTAAATTAGTAAGACGATCCGATTTATTGATAAGATTATTATCGTCTCGATTTTAATACGATGTTTGTAAGCTGTCATCATATATTCACGTGATTTCAATAGATGAGACTGTTTATTCTTTTTTTATGCTAAAATTTAAAACTAAAGCTAATATCCTCACTTTTTACAAGCATTACTCGTTCGTCTATCATATGTTTCTTTAAAATATGTTAATAATGATTGCATTAAGTAATCGAGAATCGATTAGCAACAGCTCATATTACATTGAAATGACTTATCATTTGTCTATATAGTATCATAATAGGTCTAGACTATTTGTATCATTTCACTTCAAATTTTATAAATAATTTTATTCGAATTTTTAACTTCCGTAGTTACAAAAAGAATTGAATGTCTCTCCTATTGACAGTTACATTGTGTGTTTTTGTTGGTTCATGTGTCAACGGACAAGAATATGAAACCTGTATATATTTGTCAACAGTCATGTTACATTGTAGACAACAGTATTTTAACGATTTATAAAATTCATGATGAAATATGAAATAGAAAGGAGATTGTATACGATCGTTATGGTAAGATTGAGTAGTTTTTAAAAAATTGATTTAGTCAAAAGTAAATTCAATGAATTTATTGATATTATAGTTTATAAAATATTGAGAAGAATCAATTTATTTTTGTACTATATGATTACTTTTCGCTGTTTTTTTTGCGTGTATTATTATGTACTTCAGTATACATTTATTCAAGTTTCACTTCTCAAGATATTTTTTTGAGAGATAAAATAAGATCGATCTAAAAGTAGAGAATTTTGTCTCATTATTTCTCAGACAAATTTATTAAAGATCATAAATTACAGGCTAAGAAATCCACACAGATTCTGATCAAAAAATTCGTAAGAAATGTTTTCTTATGAGAACCTGCCGGAAATTGATATATTCATCTTGTTTAAGGAAATTCAGTGACATAAGACTAAAATTTAGTTGAACTCTTTATCATTCAGGTATATTGACTCAAATTTTCTAAAGTTTTTTCTTATCTCGTAATCCTTTGCTTATAAACGACAATTCGATCAAAAACAATATATATATACGATTAACCATATTATAAGTACTTAGATTATATTTTGTCGTTATAATTAGTAAGTTTATCAATAATGAGAATCTTAATTATAATTTTCATTATTATTGACTAAATTTAAAAAATTTGACATTGTTCATTTTTCTCATTATTTTTAATCAATAAAAAAAGAAAAAAATGAAAATGAGTTATTACAAGTCACAAGAGAATCAATTTATGAAATATTATCATGGTTAAGTCTATCATAAATCATGTTTTTCAATGTATAATTCTTATAATAATGAAAAAATCGTTTTGACCTTGTCATTTATATGTTTTTCGAAGAAGAAAAAAAAATATTTGATTGTTATTGTTTATGTGAAAAGCAGAAAAAAAAATGTGGCATCACTGGTTGCCATTTTCAACGGGGAAAAAAAACCGACATTTCTATCGACTTTTTCTTTTACTCATTTTTTTTTATTGCCTGTCACTAACTGTACGAAACAACACACATAAACTCACATTTCATCTAAGCATCATTTAGTTCTCTAAAAAAGAAAAAAAAATAAAGTATCATTAAGCAAATTATTCATATTCATTTCAATGACAGGTAAGACCTCGTTTGTTATACAATTCTAGAGTACTTTGAAGTTTAATGAGCCAAAGAAATCTTTACTTCTTGTTTGACGTAATGGTTCAGTTAAGAAATTCTTACAATAATTCTTTTGATAGATGTTTTATTTATTAAATGTTTTAAGTATTCATATTGATTCTAAACACAAATTTCTTAATCATAACTATCATCAATTCAAGCACGTAGAGAATGTTTTTTTTTTTATATATTGTAAAATTCCACTCGAAATAAACATAAGAATTTTAAAACATCAACTAAATACAATCTTGTACGTAGAAAAGAATCTTAAATAGCTACTATAAAAAATTATTGTATGTCAGGAGAAAAAAAGAAAAGCATCTGTTGCATCTATAAAACTCAATTGAATATTTAGGTATGTGCAATAGTGCAAACAATATAAATGGATAATTATTTGTATGGTTCATATATTCTTGTTCTTCTTTTTTTTTCAATTATAACATTATGTCATTGTCAAATATATCCATATATAACAGAACCAAAAATAACATCTGTTATTCCAATAAATTCTACAGCTTTAACTATAAATTGGCAATTTGCTGATGCGTCTATTGATCGTTCGGATCTTATACGAATTTATATTATTATTTATGAATTTTATTATAATTATAATAGAATATATGCATCAACAAATTATACATTTACATCAACAAATAAAACAATAACAAGTTTAATAAAAAATTTTGAATTAGTTAATGCTTATTATTATATTTGTTTTTCATCAAATTCAACAGTGACAAATTTTAGTCAATATTTATCGATTATAAATACTTGTATTTTAACTCGAACATGTTTACGTTCAAATACAGCATGTCCAGGACCATCATCTGTTATTATTTTATCAAGAAATATAACATCGAATTCATTTATTATTTCTTTTCAATGGCCAAATGATTTGCCATATTCATCGAATTCTTTTACAACACAATTAATTAATAATGGTCAACTAGGTACAAATCTAGGTTTAACACAAAATACTTCATATACTACTCGATTATATCAATTTACTGGTCTACAATCAAGAACAACTTATACAATTAATACAAGTTTTACTTATAGTATTCTTAATGGAGTTATAAAGAGAAATACAACAATTTTGACAGTGACAACATCTTATTCATCGAAATTGTCTTATACCAGTGATCTATTGTCCTTATTCTTTACTTTTTCGGTGATATTGTTTTATATAAATTTTTCAAAATAAAAAGAACAAAATTGTACTACATTGATTAATTTCATTAGTATCGTAAAGTTTTTTAAAATGACAATGAAAGAAAATGTCTAATAGAAAAGGCAATAATAATAAGATGTTAAACAAGAATATCTCTGACTGTCGACAAGTATCAACAATCCATTTTTATGTCTCAATCGATCAAGTTTCAAGAGAATGTCTGTAAATTACATGATGAAGCTTTTGATTGTTCGTTCTAATGATTAATGTCTTAAATTAATTTTCAAATGAACATATGCATATCGAAATTTTAATGCTGAGATATATATTGAGTAAGACTAGTTAAACTATATATTAAAAAAAACGATATTACATATGCGAATTGAATTTTTAATATTATTTTCAGGATGAAGAACATAATTAGATGTTATATCTGATATAGAACTAACGATGGAAATCTTTCAACTGTTCGATTGCTTTTGAATCGAAACTATTTTTTTATTATATAGATCCAAAAGAAGCTATGAATGCCGTAATAACAAAAAAATTAATTTTTGAATTTCGATTTGACACTTTGCATAGAGATAGACTTTAATAAGAAAAGCTTATTGTAAAAAACATCCTATTGTCATAGTGATGTGTTAGAATAGGAACAGCGACAAGATCTGAAAGATTAACAAAAAAAACTATTCTCATTGAATCTTGTCTCTGACCAAAGTTTCAAGTCATAATTCGAATATCAGTTTTTTCTAGATCGCAATATTTATTTACAAAATACTGTAAAATGAAAATATCGCTATAGCAAAAAGCTATGGACATGAACTCTTTTCAGGATGTTCATAAGCCATTTGAATACACATAATGTGCAGTTTTCATGAATTTACATAACCATAGATTTGAGAAAAAGGTAATCTCAATATGAAAATTGTATCTAACAGCCTTCAATGATTCAATTGACATACGGCCACAATACTTATAATGAATATGAAATGTTAACTTAGAACTGAAAGACAACATTTTTATAATTGCAAGTACATTGAAAATAGTCTAACGAGGGAAGGGTCTCAACTGTCCAATCGCTTTTGAGCTGAGACTATGTGCATTATGTAGATCCAAATGAGTTATGAATACCCTGAAAAAAGTTCGGACCGCTAGCCTATTGGTACGGAGATAGTGTACTTTGACAGTATTCTTGAAAAAATGAATGCCGTGGTCCCCCTCAGGGACACCAGAAAAACTGATTTTTGAATTTCGACTTGAAACTTTGGATAGAGACAGACCTTAATCAGAATAGTTTATTCTGAATGTTTCTAAGATTTTTTCATCTGCTTCTATCCTAAAATAAGAACATCAAATCTGCCAGTTTTGTATAGACAAGTTATTCATAACTGTATCCTAGGATAGAAAGGGCGAAAACATCTGAAATATTCACAGCAAACTATTCTCATTAAGGTCTGTCTCTATCCAAAGTTTCATGTCGAAATTCGAAAATCAGTTTTTCTGTATTCCTGAGGGGGACCACGGCATTTATTTAAAAATACTGTAAAAGTGCACTATCTCCGTAGCAATAAGCTAGCGGCCCGAACTGTTTTCAGGGTATTCATAACTCATTTGGATCTACATAATGCACATAGTTTCGGCTCAAAAGCGATTGGATAGTTGGTGCCCTTCCCTCGTAAGATCCTTGCTCTATCTTATGATCATGAAATTGGCGAGTAACATCGATCTCAATGAAATAAACAATTTTGAGATTCACAATCAATCTTCGATGAAATATATTAACTTAATACTCGATATAGAAATTTATATTAATTCATGTAACATATCAATTTTCTTTTACAATCATAAAATATATGATGCACTATAGATGCATGTAAATTGAATAAATAAAATAATATATTTGAGTTTTATTTAAGTATATTTTAATGTTATGTTTTAAGAAAAGATTAACAAATGAAGAAAACAAAACCTAAAAATCAATAGTCTATCCATATTGATTACGATGGAATGATTCAAAATGAATAATCTATAATAAAAGAAAATAGATTTATATATTTTTTTGTTGTTGTTTTAAGAAGAAAAAGTAAATCGTACAATTAACTTTGCTTTTTAGCTTTGATATTAGATGAATTAATATAATGATAGAGAATAATTAGTAAGAATACCACAACATTAAGTATATTTGCAATAATAGCCAATTGTACGTCAGTTATCATGACTGCTGATTTAAACAAATTCTTGTATTGATTTAAAATCTAAAATAATTATTCGAGAGAAGTTCTTTTATATTTTTTTTTTCTTATGATTAATGAATTTTATTATTATCTAAATAATTGTCAAATCAATTTCAGAAAACATTCATCATTACAAAAACGAGGATAAAAAAGCATTATAGTTTACAATACAATATACTTAAGAGATTTGTCTTTTTCTCATTGGTGAATATGTTACCAGTTGTACGAAATAACTAAAACGATGTCGCTTGAACTCAGTTACAATGACTTTCAATATGTATGACAATCATAAATTTATTATTTTAAAAATAATTCATTATTACGATAACTCGTAGAACTAAATATATTTATTTCAGAAATTAAATAATTAATAAGATTAAAACGGAGTTAATTAATCCATGATAAAGTTTTGGTCATCCTTCTTGGTTTCCATAATTTACATTTATCTTTACAGAGTTAGTATAACAATTGCGAGCAAACTCAATATATCAACACAATGATTTCTCAAAATAAAGTCAAAGTTATTCTAATTCACATATACAAAATATTTCGTCGATATGAACAAAATAAACGTTAAATTTGGTTTATCATAGAATAGATGTCCGTCATTTCCTAAGTCGTTTTTAGCATAGATGCCATGGTGATAGAAAAATTTAATTTTCAAGTTTCGACTTCGGGAACTTTGCATAGAAACAGGTCTTCATAGAAGTAGTTTATTGTAAAACTTTTCGATCTTTTGATGTGCTTATATGAACAATGTAAATGACAGTTTATTACTATAGTTGTATTTTAGAAGAGAAACAATGACAAAATCTGACATATTCGTAGTAAATTATTCTTGTTAAGACCTGTCTCTATGCAAACTTTTGAGTCAAAATTTGAAAACCACTTTTTTTTTATCATGTCATTCATTTAAAAAAATATTGTAAAAATGCAGTATCTCTGCAGTAAACAGCTTAGTTTTATGGGTATTGTTAACTAATCGATTATACACTTTTGTTCATATCAGTTTATATTTCCTTACTATGCACTATATAATTCAAATAAAGAAACAAAAAAAAAACCCGTTCTTCTTCTATAACAACTTTGTTATTTTCATGAAGTTTCTCAGGTTTACTGAAAATGTTTCGATTTCAAAGTCAAAAAAAGAATAAATTTTGTCAATTGAGATGGCCGCGAATACTATTGGGAACCTGAGAAGACCTAAAAATGCATGATATGTGTCAACCAACATTGTTATAATCACAACCACTAATAAAGTACGAAACTGAAAGTTTTGTTTTTTGTGTATACATAATTAAGCACTATCATAATGTACACAAAATTTCAACTCAATAACATGTTAAAGCATGAAGAGCCTGTTCTAAAGGTAGAAAGATACCTTAAGACATGAATATGATAAATAGTGCAACAATATTGATTCATTTTTGCTTCTATCTACATTAAGCAATATAATTTGCAATATAAAAAATGTAATCGAATGTCATTTAAGTGTTTATTATAATGACTTCACTTCAGAAGATACGATCATAGCCTGTTTCTTTAAATGTACATCTATAAATACTAATGACAAAACATAGGTTCAAAAATAAGGTATGTATATTTATATATACATATGAAAATCACTGTAAAAAAAATAAGTGAAAGTGGAATTATATATATGGTAGGGCAAAGTTTACTTACTAATCATCAGAAAATAACATAATGCGCAAAAGTAAATATGTGAGAGAGAGAGAGCAATAAAGATCGACTTGGTTGACTGCTTTTTTCCTTAAATATGTAGATATATATATAAATGAATACAGATTTATATTTTTATATTACATAAAATACTTCATTGTTACCACATCATTTGCTGTATCTTTTAATAGCAATATTAAAATGACTACTGCGGATGCTTTGTTTAATGAAGCGGATATTAATCGAGATGGAGTCTTATCTCAAAGTGAATTTCGAGATTTCGTAGTACGACATTCTACTGCTGGTCTTGATACTTCGAATTATTCAACTAACAATGCTTTCAATAATTTGGCAACTGGTAGTGGTTATGGTTCATCATCAACTTACGAAACATCAACAATTGGTGATGTAGCTTATACTGGTGGTGGATTTGCTGGTACTAATTATGATGCATCATCATATCGGTCATCTGTTGGTAATATTGTTGGTGATGCAACAAGTTTAAATGTTACAGATGCAAGTTTGCTTGGTTCTTCATCTGCATATCAATCGTCAAATTTTCAACAATATGAAACAGATGCACAAGGAAATTTTAAAGATTCTAATCCACAAATTGTACGACGACCTGCTCCAGATGGACAACTTACTTATACACAAAATGTTCAAGTTCGATTTCTTAAACCACCACCTGTTCCACCACCAGGAGTAAAGCAATTTAAAATGCACATGTTTCTTTTTTTTCTTGTAAATTTGTAATTACATTGTTCATTTTAGCCATTGTATATCAAAGAAGTACGACCACCGCAACCACCACCACCAGCACCACTTCGTGTTCGTCAACAAGCTCCACCACTTCCTACACCGCCGCCACTTGTTTTACGTGAACAACCACCGCCGAAGCCACCTATTGTTGCATCGCAGACTGGTAGAAAAAAAACCATAAAGATTTTCTTATTGAATTTTCTTTTTAGTTGTCCGAAATTTACCTGCAATACCAGTTCCACCACGATCGGTTGTTATCGATCGTATGCCTCCAGCACCAGCAAAACCACGTAAGATTACTTTTTATTTTATACTCTGGTTGTATTTCAATCATAGATTGATTATTATTAGGTGATA